CGCCCCCGCAGCATCCCTTTCGTCGCGCTTCACTCGATATCTCGCCGGCAGAAATCCGGATTAAACGAGAGACCGCGAGTTCTTGCCCCTTAAACCGTCTGCTTCGAGAACGGAGACTCATTCCCGCGGAAATTTCATTTGTCTCTTTCGCCGAACTTCAAGCTGGAACGCTGCACAAACCGCGAAATCCGGGGAAACAGGACCAGCCGCACGCTACGGCGCCACAGTACGAGCCTAATCAATTAACCAGTTACGATTGAACGTTAGTTGTTAATTATTATCGTTAAATTTACGCCTAAGATATAATACACTCACCTAAGACGTACCTGATGATATCATTTTTTTTGGTTTGTAAAAATTTTCCCTATCGCGCCACGAGAACGGGCATCGTAGCACTGCCGGGCGAAACAAAAGGAAAAGAAGTTGAACCTTTGCACGGTGACCGACTTGTTCCTCGCTTTCTTCCGTGATCCTCCTCTTCCTCTATTAATTCCAAATTATTCAACATCCCCGGATAATTTGGGAACACTCGTTATCTGAATCCATGCACGAAGGATGACGTAGAACAAGAAAATCATACGAAGGATGAACATCTCTGATACTCTCCAAGATGGCGGACATAACAAACTAAGGTTAGAATCATCGAATCTCCATTATAACCTGACATTCTACGAATCTTCCTCATCGATTGAACAACCTGATACATTTCCCAGTAATAATTTCCACTGGCAAACAAGTGTAACTCAACGTAATTACAAATAATTCCCCCGCATCAATGGCCGCCGCGTCCGCCATCTTAAAACCGCTCGCAGACTTCGTGTGTTCACTGCGAACCGATTCGGTGCGCCGGGAAGAAAGCTATTCCGATCGAGCCGTAATAGAAAGCCACGAAAACGCTTCGCGGGAACGTATTGTTTTCGTTTCATTTCGGAAACCTCTCGATCGAGATAATATCGAAAAGGTTTCGGGACGAAATTGATTCGAGCACGGCGCGCGGCCCGACCCTCCGACCGGGTAAACTCGTTCCGCGGCGGGACAATGGGGATTCCCGGTCGCTCTCCATCCGCTAAATTATCCTCGATACGGTTTTAACGAGGAAGAAATTCCGAAGAGAGTTACGTCGATAATCCGGGCCGGACGATAACGCTCGACCGGCGGTGCGCGGCGAACTTCGGCTTCAAAAGGCGGCCGCCGGACTCGGTTAAAGGGTTAATGGAACAGGCGACCAAGAATCGCGGCGCCAATAAAGGGGCAGGAAGACGCACGGCTGTCCGTAAATTTCGGGTCACTGGCTCGGATTCCATTTCGCCCCGTGTTCCTACGGGCATTCGAGCCGATCCCTTCGATTTGCACAGGATTTACCCTGAACTGTTTCGAGAGTTCGGACTTTACGAGCTCCTGCAATTTGCATTTGTGTGAGACGCATTAAAATAGGAGATCGGGCCAATTTTCCGGGGAAGTTTTGCGTCTTTTCATCGGGGAACTCGGGACAGATGTTTATGGACTGCTGGTTGTTGAAACGAGATCAAGCTGGTGTTCGATGCTAGTGAGACGTGATTATTGTAACCATGTAATTCTACGATGATAAAGAGTTCAGATGTTCGAGTAGTTTAAAGGAACTGCGGATGAATAGAGATTACACGCCTTTCCTATGCACTGATGACGCTTGATACTTAAATTTACGAGATAATACCACTGACAGTTCAGGAGGTTCGACAGATAAGAAACCCAAGGAAACATCTTCAATCGCAATTTTAAATTACTCACTAAACATCTATATCCTGGTGAAGATACACGAGCCAATGACTTTCTATTTCATCAAAGTCCAAAATTCAGCTTCCTTAATCCCTTCACCTGCAATACGCGTCAGAGTCGTAACGAAAATTCCAAGGTGAATTCGACAAACCTAAGTGTTATTCAATTTTTTAAAACATAAATGAAATATTACTTTTCTATTATCGGTCCTCAACCTTTTAATTAAACATACACATAGAATAGGCAAGATCTCTTCGTTTCCTAATAAATTACTACCGTAACTGAATGGATCATCAGTTGAGAAATAAACCATAGGGCAAGGGGTTGAACTCGAAATGAACCGCGATCAGCTCGATCCCGATTCTAATTCCGCCGAGAACGAGTGTACAACCGATACAGCGTCCGATTTACCAGAATTTCAGGTTCGAACATCGCGAGCGACCGGGTCGCGGACGCAGCGGAGTCGGATTTATCCGGGAACACGGGCAAAGTCCTTCTAAGACCGTCGATCGACTCACCGGCCACCCGTTGAATTCCTTCGGGAAACTTTCCCCATCGATCGGTTCGGGCTCTTTGTTCCTCGCGCGTATATACACGCGCACGTAACCGTTTCCCGCGCGTGTAGATGAACACAGGCGCTCGGACGTTCGTCGGCGCGAGTCGAACGGGCTAATTGCGTTCAACGCTTTAAGCCTCGGGGAATTGCCAGCGATTTTTCGCGCCTTCGGGAAACTCTCACCTTCTTTTTCCGCTTTTTCTTCTTCTTCTTCTTCCTCTGCTTCTTTATCTTCTTGTTCGAGTTCTCGCGACCGGATCGGTCGGATATCCGGGGAGCCCGGGAACTGCGGCACGGCCCCGCAGGATCTCGCACGGGAATTCGTTCGCGTACATCGACCGGGTAATCCGGTTCGATCGTCTCGAGAACACTTCCGGAAATTTTGCGTGCGACAGGGGAGGTCTTCTTCCGGTTCCGGCATCGGGGGTGAGAGGGATTGGAAGAAGTTCGAGACTCGTGGCTGGGTAAACGGATTAAGCCTTTGCACTCGAAAGATTTTTGCGTGGGTTATTTTTTAATGAAATATCTATGGAATCGCTGATTGTACTTTATGATTTTCGATTGAACGTTTTATATTCGTATTTTGAGTTTCGTGTTTCTAGGATTATTATGTTCGAATTTGATGTTGTAGATTGTGGTTTATAGTTTTCGTCGGATCGAATGGCGATTGCGAGTCGCGTTCTTCGAGTGCGAAAGGTTAAAGCGCACTGAGGTTGTGCAAGCTCGATCGGAAGTAATGATAAGACGCGATTCTTGGGATTCTCTGGGTTCGTTCGGGGAATATCGAAGTCGACGATCGGTTGATAGATGACTGAGGAGGAAGGGAACAATCGTATCAATCCGATCGACGGTCACCATGATAATGGATTGTCTAAGAAGTTCGTGCCGTTTCGTAAAATTGTAACGTGGTTTGTAGTGTTTAATATATTTAATATTTATATCCTTCCACGAGCACTTTAATTGTTGTTTTTATTGTTATTTATTTCTCTTTCGGCTATTCTCTGTTCTCGAAAGTGTCTCCCTTTATATTCCCTTTTCACGAGGGCAATGCACGGTTCTTTGAGAGTAAAAGTTCCCGGTTAAACGCGGGGTAATTTGTTTTTTACACTGCGAAGACAAAAATGGCTGAAGTAGATTTTATGTGTGCTCATACCGTTTAATTTGTATCCCCGGCAAAAAATAAAAGCGCAACCGTTAACTCTCGCGGAGGACGCACGTGAAACTTTTTCAAAAAACTGCCTTTTCACAGGGTTAAAAGAGGATTTATATGAACGAGGTTTCTTCTGTTTTTACTTTTATTTTGCGGCCAGTCGCTGGATGTTTGAGAACATTCGCGGAGAAGTATTAGACCTAGATTTAAAGGGTATTACCGATAAATTCATTAAACTCACGAATTCTCTATTGTCTCCGTTTACTGTCTCCAAACGAGAAAATCCTTCGAAATAAATCATTCGATTGCGATCCCATTAAACCATCTATCCAAGAATATCAAACATTCATAGTGTTCACCGGTTAACCACTAATCTCCGAGAAAATTGATCGAAACGAATGATAATAATAAAACAATTACAAGAAGAAACGACACGAACCTCTCCCGTGCAACGAAATCCAAAGAAAATGCCGACGGGATGAATTGAAACGGGATCCCTCCACCAAATAGTCGATCATAGAATAGCTCCTCGTACGTAGCACACACCAATCATCTCCACCAAGAATATTACAAAATATCCACGACTATTCGCGTGATCCAATAAAGAAAATTCGAGAACGCCGGTCGTCTCGTCCCGTTACGAAATCCCTGGGTGCTACGACTCTACACGATAAACGTTATTGACGCATTCTAGCGGGATCACTAAATGACGATCCATCGCGCGTTCTCGCCTAGGTGTGGTTCACACGCGAAGGCCCGCGACGTGGGCCCCATCGGGACCACCAGGCCATCGATTGGTTCGGCCGTGGTTGAACCGTCTCGGGTCACGTGTACACGGGACCGTTTCGGCGACGACCACGACTACCACTGGTAGCTGTCGGCGATGGACTTCCCGTCGGAGCATGGGCTCGCGCTGCCGCACCATTTTGTGTCCTTCAACGGCGGACACGATGAACCGCCGCGGCGAGGCTTTATCGTGATCTTCCGCGTCCTCTGGGTCTCTCCCACGCCGCAGCTACGACTGCAGGCGCTCCACGGGCCCCATTCGCTTACTTTGCAATCCCTTGGAGGACCTGGGAACAATTTACTAAAAGTAGTGTTGTTCCTTCGTAAGCGATGGTAGCTGGAATTTAGAGATGAGCAAGCATATATGCTAGACTGATTGAGATTTATATATTTCTGAATGCTATAATGTTGATTGATTATCACATCGGATGTATAGTTTCTGAGTAAATCAATTTTTAGGTGTACTTTCAGCTAGAGAAATGGGGTAGCTTTATTGTCAGCGTTGTTCATAATGAAAGCAATGAATTCGCTGTTCATCTCCTTTGTAAATCAATCGAGAAGGAAGTGGAGACTGTATCGACAGCTTACTGATAATAGTGGGTAATAAATAATAAAGTTATTCAGGGAAGATCCCAGGCTATCAGTTTTGGGAATTTACGATTGAGTACTTGTACATTCGTTTTACTTTGTTATTCGCATGACAGCGTTACTGTCTTTATTATTTTAATGGAGAATCTTCATGGCGAGCGTATCCATTGTCAGGAGCACGTCGGATGATTTACGATGCGGACAAGAGTGTGTATATGTGTGTGTGTGTGTGTGTATATATATATATACTCACGCGTTCTGAGACGTTTCCCCTTGGACGTCAGCCGGTGATGTTTCATCCTGAGCCTGTGCTGACGTTGGTTCGCGTTGTCAGTGGAATTCCACGCATGGCCGACGAGACTGTTACCGCTGGTCGCGTTCGCCATCTTCCTCTGGATGTCCTCAAAGATTTGAGCCTTCTGCGCCTCTGCTGTCTGCTTGTACTTCTGATAATACGGCCAGCCTGTCTTCCCATCGTATCTCGAGAGCTTCGGGGCGGGTGTCGGTGTGAGCCTCGGCCTTTGCAGCGCGTACAATGACGCGATGCTGTCTAAGATGGCCGCCTTGTTGTCCCGAGGAACGTCCGTCACCGTTTGCCCGCTTCCGGTCGTCGTCCAGTACCTGCAACCAAAAGACTATCTTGTTAAGATGTGTATAGCATGTGTCAGGAATGTCATCAATTCATTTTATCAATGTTGATAGAATATTCTTACAGTAGATACAGTTTTCTTTGACATTTTTCCTTTCTGATATACCTTAGATATCATTTATAGCCTCCTTCTCCCTCTAGTGCACCTATATCTAGATCATTTTTATTAATTACCGGTTCCCTTCTTTTATGTCTTCATTAATTATTACTTATTAATATCAATTTTTCTCAATTAATTACTTCAAGATTGTATTAATTTCATTGGTACAATTAAAACATTCGATTTCTTTGTTAATTCCTTTGTTGTTTATGCTATTTTTCCTGATACAATCAATTGCATTGATATCACTTTAATATGGATACATTTAATTACAGAAATTTTCTTCCCATCATCATTGCCATCTTAAAAATCATAAAATTATGTTTCATTAATTATAAAATTTCCCCTTCAGCGATCACCCATCTTGCTGCAGACCACGGTCCTTCGTCGCTTGACTTCACTGATCAAACAAGAATATCACTCAACTCGACTCTAAAACTTCATACTCACGTTCGTTCTGATATCAAATCGTTTTATACACTTAAACTTCCGTTCACCAAAAAACGTTAAAGCCCTCAAATACTCAACCAAACGATTTTCTCGCCAGGAAAATTGTTGGATCGGCGGGACGAACGACGCGAGATCGTTCCCCGTTTCGGCGCGGCGCGTCGATACTCGAATTTCCAGACGCAGGGTTCGTCGTGCCACGGTGCCGCGCCTCTTGAAAACAATTTCGAGCGTTGATTTACGGTTGCCATGTCTACGGGGAGGAAAATGCGGCGGGGCGGGACGGGGCGGAAGCGGAACGGCAGGAAAGAACGGGGAGAGACTCGCGTTTCACCGCCGCCGAAACTTATTCGCACTCCACCCGATCGCTCCGCACGCGGAATGTTTGATCTCGTGTTTCCTGGTATTGGTAGCCTACGCACGAGGGCGCACGGCCATTGGTTCGGGTTTCTCGCGAGGAATACGAACCGAAAATGATCGGAAGAGCTTTATCATAGGGAACGGATGCGGGGGCTCTCGAAATTATTTGATTTTAGGGACGCACACTTTGTTTTACGATGTGGAATGATATCCTCTTGTTGTGTCGTATATTTCATCGATCTTTCGTGCGAAATTTGTCATTCTTACTTCAGTTTCGACAGCTTTGAAGTCGAAGTGATGTAACGTTCTTTAGCGTACGTTTGGAGGGGTTAGATTTTTCTTATTAACCCTTTGCACTCCGATGTTTTCCATTAGAAATATTTCAACATTTTCTGACGAGATGAAGACGATATTTCGTAAAAACAACTCGGCGAGAAATTCACGTGAATTGACGGAGGAAGCTATTTTACGTCAATATTTCTTAGATGCATTATATGAAGTATAATATTAAATATTAAACTTTATAGCCTCACTGCAGGAAATCAAGTGCACTCGAGAGGTGACTCATTCACCAGCAGATTTCATACGGTAAAATTATAAAATTTAATATTATACCTAGTATAACGCATTAATTTGAGAAATTTTGTCTCAAGAGAAAATGTTCAAATGTATCTACTAAAAAGCTTCTGAGTGCAAAGGTTTAAAATTTCTCAGAGGACTGACGAGTGGAACAATACTTTGTTCATAATTTTCGTTGGAGCAACTGATATCGAACAGAATGAAAAGAAAGTTTTGGGAAAATCGTTTGAAATAGCATGGTCTCACCGTTGCCATCCAATTCTATTTACGTTAAATTCCACGCACGAAATTTCCACTTGTCCGGCGTTAATTATATCAGAAAGGCGTTGCTCGATGTACCGTGATACCGCGTGAAGTAAATTGAAGGTGACGAGCGAATACATACGTCAGGAATCTCGGGCGAACCCGACACGGAACCGAGCGATCCCGTTCCTGATACAACCGGGCCAAGTAGCTCGCGTTTTTTAATTTATTCTCCTCGCATTTGCATGATTTCAATTCCCCCCGGCGAAATCTGGTTCGCGGCAGGGATAGGACAAACTCTGAGTTCGCATCAAGCCCCTCGGGGATTTCGTTTCGCGCCTTATTCCTCCGCTTCCGGTTGTGCCCGTTCTCCGGCGCAATTCGATTTTTCAATTTTCCTGGGCAGCCGTACGTCGACTCAGGGACGCGTCTAAATTTGTCAGTCTCCGCGATTCCCTTTAAAACAACGGAGAGCTGTCGGAGATTGCAAAATAAAATGGCATTCGCGAGATCAGAAATATATTAATATGAACTACTTTTTTTCTCTCGAATATGCACACTGGGGAAATGGTGTTATAATGGAAACATTTGTATTTTCTTATTCTCGATGGTTTATGATTAATTTTGAACGAATATATTATAGAATAGTCTCTAATTTCACTGAATTAATTATTCGTCAGTTATCCTAGGGGAACATAACGTATATCTTGATAAAAATGGTACTTGAATGGTAATGATAAGAACAGAATAGTCTCTAATTTCACGGAATTAATTACTCGTCAGTTATCCTAGGGCAACAGAGAACGTATATTTTGATAAAAATGGTACAACATTTTTATCTCGTGTCTCGCAATCAATCTCGACACGATTCCTCGATCTCCTAACCTCGATCTCGAAGCCCGCGATCTCGGAAATGAATTTCTGTACCGGGGATCGCGCTCCTGGCAGCGCGAGGGACGCGCGTCGCCGCGTATCAGGAAAAGTTTCGCCGAGGCGGAGCTCATTTACGTCGCCCTCGTTATTAATGGGCCGGTTAATATTAAAAATCGCCGGCCTCGTTTATTTGCCTTACACGGTTATTTACAATTACGCGGATCCGGCCGAACCATTTCTCAATTCCCCCTCCAGCGCGGTTTTTCTCGTTCTTCGCAGCCCTGCAGCGAAACTAATTATGTTTCTCACGGGGGAAACCGCGACAGGTGAATCAAGCGAACGCGCCGAACAATATTGCAGATGACGTCCGGATACAACGCTCCACTTTGTCCGTGAATGAATTTTGATATCGTTGGTCCATTCAGGTTCCGAATGGAATGAATAATTGTAATCGAAAACTGAATTTCTAAATAGAATCTAAATATTCCATAGACACTGTGAATGCATTAATGACACTTTTAGATTTCTAGTATAACGAGAACAAGTGTTATAAGTGAAACTGGTGCGCAAGATGAATATTTCAAGTGATAAATTATTATCGTCTATTTTATTCTCTGCGGACCTCTTCAATTTCAAGCTTATGCAGTCCTTCGGCCGTCAAATCTACAGTTCAACGTCACGGCGACTACAGTGCGGAATTATAGGATGAAATAAAGTCGCTATTATCATAATCTTCTTTATTATTTACCCCTCCGTGGTTATTCTATCAAAACCGCAATGAAAAATCGCCGTTGCGACCGGTGGATTCCAGCTCGAGTGAAATTCTATGGAACGTCCGGCCCGAGAGGCGGGCGAAGCGGACTGGAAGTCATCCCGCTTTCCATTATTGCGCTTTCTAATGGCCACCGGCGGTCCGAAACAGGAACGAGAGCGGTCGTTTCTTTGACGCGCGGAATCGTCGGAACGACGCCGCGTAGGAACAACATTTGCCTGGCGAGCGTTTCCGCCGGAACGACTCGTTTCCAGCGCGCGTTCCGACCGTACAGCCTCGAGAGATCGATTCCGATCCGTGATTCCTCGATTCCGGAACAGACGCCCGGTGTATTTCGACGAAACGAAACGCGTCTCGGCGATTCGTCGCTCGAACGGAGATCAATTAAGCGAGGCATCACCTTCGCGAGGGATAATTGAAAACGTATTTACGAGGATACAGTTATCATATCGAATCTGCAATGCAGATCGCTCATTACCGCCGTGCCGCTCCGATGATTTTAAAATGCAAATCATCCGCGCCGCGAATTTCTGTACGACAGCTGACGCGAGTTCCGGGGTCGCACCGGGCATTTCCGGTCCGTGAGAAATGCGGCGGGACGCGGCCGACGTTTGCTTCAGGCCTTTTGGAGAATCCTCCTTTGAAAAATTGGAATAATCTGACTTTGATAATAATTCAGAAAGAAGTTGTTGTGTTATGCTATCTAAGATTCATCGATGAACTACTATTATTTCTGTATTATTCCTGTACATCTCACGTATTGAGATATTTTTAAGGAAATCATTACGTGTGAATCGTTAGTTTTTGAGAGATCGAAATTATATAAGACCTCTAAATTTTGAGATTTAACTTTTTTACAAATATTGAGATTTATGGAAATTTCTGAAGTTTTCTAAGTTTTGTGGTACACATTTTCCGTTTTTAAAGACGAGTGGCACGGTGTGTTGCATCTTTTAATAAATTCATTTAAAACCGAGCTTTCAGTGATCTCGAGGCTCCCGTGTAATTCAAGATCGGCTCGCCATTTTGCCGGCAATTCGATTTCAAAGAAAAACCGGCCCTCTAGCTTGAATGGCTGTTCCAAAGGATACTGGCCGAACTATTGTTCGATCCAGCCTGGTCGTCCAATAACAGACTTCTTCGTCGCCGAGTGACATTGTTCGGGCTCGCTGTCATCCCGCCTCGGCGTTCCTGAAGTTGCCACTTCAATGGATTATTATACCCCGCCGTGTAAATAACGCGGCCCATTCAGGCCGTCGTGAAACCCGACGACGTTCCACCACGGAGCCTTTTATTAATGCCAGGCCTCAATTTAGCGGGTAACAATCGCATTATGAAATGGACAACGCTCCGTTGGTTACTGTCGCGGGAAGAATTCAACCCTTTGAGCGCCGTTGACGCTTGCCTGCTCTCGGGGAAACAAAATTTAGCCAATTGTATCTGTGATTTAACTGTTTACCTTTCCGCTTGGAGATATGCCACTTGGAGGAAGATGCTTTTTAAGTTTGTGATCTGCTTTGTCTGGAAGACTTTTGAAATTTGAAATGGAAAACTTCGAACATGAAAGTTGGAAGTTTAACCTCGAAACTTGAAGCTTGAGACTTGGAGCTTGGAACTTGATGCTTGAAGCTTGGAACTTGAAAGAATAAACTTGGTACTTGAACCTTAAAGCTTGGAAGTTGAAAGATGAAACTTGGAATTTGAAGCTCGAAGCTTGGAACCTGCAAGAGTAAACTTGGAACTTGAAGCTTCAAGCTTGGAACTTGAAGGATAAAACTTGGAACTTGAAATTTCAAATTTCAAATTTCAAATTTGAAAATTGAAAGTTGAAATTTGAAAGTTGAAAGTTGAAAATTGAATCTTGAAACTTAAACCCTGAACTTGGACGGAACTTGGACGAAACATGGAACTTGAAAGCTGAAACTTGAAACTCGAAACTTGAAATCGACAGAGCGACTGCGCCTCGTTACTAAAATTCTCCAACGCTTCGTTCCGCGAGTCGAGATTCCGCATTAACTTCGAAAAACAAGTTCCCCGAAAATATAAACCGGGAAAATCGCGCGCGTCGCGGTTCCCGGTCACAGTGTCGCCGGTGTCCTATAAGCCGCGTAATAAAAAAACAAATTCGCCGACGCTGCAATTTGGTTAAAAGTTTCCCGCCCGGGGCCAAACGCATGATATTTCACGGTTGTCGTTTGGGATATCGCAGCGGTGTCGCGAAACAATTCCCTCGCCGCGCTGGGCGAAAAAAATTTCATCGAACTCCATCGTCTGGCAGCGTTTTCGGGGAACGTAACGGCGTTTCCGGATTCGCGCGTCGATACACGGGGATCGAAATCGAACCAGCGTCTCCCTTTCAATTTTCTCGCCGGTCGTTGACGGACTAATTAAACGCAAGCGAGATTTCCGAAATTTCCCCGAAAAACCGACTTCCCACGCGTGAAATCCACGATTTTTCTCGAGCAACGCTTGTTTTCGCTCGAACGAAAAATTCGAAGGGCCGGCGGAAATCAATCGCACTCTAGGAATAGTCAATTGCGACGGAAAAACTCCGATGCTACGGAAAATTGAAAGAATTTTCAATTTTCTATACGAGCGAAAATATTTCCCGGCGAAACCACTCGCCGTTTGGAAAAACGCCAAGTGCTCGGCGGCAATATTTCGAGCTGGATTAATGAATCAATTAACACGTTCAGCGGCAACGTCGCGACATCCGCAGTCCAATCATTACAATTTAAATATAGTAATCCAATGACCCGACAGTTGCATAATTACCCCAACAATTACGTGCCAATTCGCCCGGTACCATCCATAAGAACTAATTTTCCGTAAATAACCGATACCATCCGCCTAATTATAAAGCAAGTTTACGAATCATCTACCAAAAATGAATGAAACCGACTCGCAAAAACTAATTCGATATTCCCGTCTCGTCAAGACACCTTCTCTCACTGTCTAAAAGTGGCAACCTATCGGTTCGTAGACTTACATTAAATTCATTCATTTCTTTTCCTTCTAATTATCTATCTCTATTTTTCAATTATCTGCTTAGGAATGAGAAAACGATCGCGCTTACAATATATTATTCGTGAAAATATAAAAGCGTAATTCTGTTTCTAAAACGGAACGATCGCGCGGTTTACAGTTTTTTTCAATGTAAAAACAGAAAAGTGTCATTCAGTTTCTACACCGAAACGAAAGGAGCGCGATCGCTCGGAGCTTTTCAGCTGTATTTTTGCAATGATTCGCAACACTCAGGCGAACTTTTCAAATACTTCTACTCACTTTCTAAAAACCACAGTTACATCATAAACATCACCAGCAAAAACGAGAAGTATTTACAAAAGTGAATGCAAGAACCATTCGCGCAGAGCTCCGCAAGATTCACACCACAATTCAATAATATAAATTCCACAACCTAAACAAAATCGATGCATCTCATCCGTAATTATACTCACCCAGCGATTCTCATTTACATATACAAAACAGCGGGCTTGACGGTCCAACGAGGAAGAAGACGAACCTGCATCAGCTCGATGGTAAAAGTAGAAGAGAGAAATAGGGCAAGACGGCGGGGCGGGGAAGGGATGCGATAACGATATGAAGAGAAAACGAGGAAGAGGAGAGAGACAGGCGAAAGCGGAGCGAGAACGGCGGCAGCAAAGGGGAAAGCAAACGCCGGATAGACCTCGACTGAGGCTCCTCTCGAAATGCCAGAAGGAGGCTATCTTTTCAGGGCTGCGGCGCACTCGACGACGGCCCATTTCCAGGGCTACCATTCGCGATACGTTCCCCGTCGGACATTGTCGTCGCGGTTTCAAGCCTGCCACTGGGGGCTGCTGTGTCCTTTATGCCGGCCGACCGTGTTCATTGAACGCGTCATTCTCTCCGACCACTCAGACGTTAGTGCCGAGTCCGATGACGGTCCGTCTCTCTTCTACCACCGGATACTCTTTCCCTGGCTAACGAACGTTTCCGGCAGCCGACCCATTTTTCGAACGGCGTTCCGCGGGCATTGTTCTTCGCGCGAATCGAACGCCGACTAGACGCTCCCATTGGAACTAGGGCGTTTTTATGCGCTTTCCCTTGCCAGAGTGAACGTTCCGCTTGGTTTTCCGAGCGAGTGGACGTAGACAGTTTTGGGGCTTGCTTTTGTTCATGGTCGGATAATGGGGTTAGGTGTCGGTGAAGTTTTTGGACGGTTATCGTGTTCTGTTTTGGTTTTTCGGTTTATATCGTGTCTTTTCTCCTTGCTTCTTTTATTCGTATGTTTCGTTCTTTCTCGTTTTTGTGTGTACTTTTCATTTCTGCTCGCTCATATTTTCTTCCCTCTCGCGTTACGCAGGGGGCTTCTCGAGGAAGGATTCGAGGGAGGACGATGAAAGCTACTAGACAGGCGAGAGGAACGTACCTGTATCGTTGAGTGTCCATTTCCTTCCGCTCTTCGGCTATCGCCTCGTTCAGGTCCCTGTTCGGATCGATCCCCCTGGGGGTCGCACTGTTCGCTAGTAGATTGTCGTTGCTGACGAACTCCACCTCGACGTCGTCCTCGTGATACGTTTCCGTCAGCGTGTACTCCCGCAACTGTAACGAGAAACGGAATTTCGAGATCCAATTAGAAGAATCATAAAACAAATTGAATCCGTGGGCCGAATTCGGAAGCGGGACCCGCGGAACACAGCGGAATTGTCTGTCTTATCTGAAGCTTGTTTCCTTGTTTCGATCCGGGGGATTCTTTCTTGTTAAACGCCGGCGAATTGTCCGCGCGGAATGTAGATGCGCCGCGGTTACATCGCGTGCGCCAGATAAGAATTTATTACGAGCAGAATTGGTTACATCCCGACAGTTAAGGGAACCTTCTCATTATATCCCTGTAACTGTTGGAAGCTTGACGTTTAGTATGCGATCTATTATTCATGCAAATTTCCGGCCTCGTAGATTATTTCACAGTAACTGCCCTGGACCAAAGGGAATTTTACCTCAACAGCGTAGCAATTTATCAACCCGCAAGTTGAACAATGTCCTCGTCCCTCGAAATTCTTTTCGTTTTTACGTTTTCTTACGAAATTGGGAAAATGAATTCTACGATATTCACGTGTGCGTTCGCTAAAGATTAAATGGTCGCACGGAGAGGAAGTATTTAATCTTTCCTGCGTAAAGGAGAAAAATGGAATTGAATGTTCAAAGTGGAACGAGTTGTAATCTGTTTTAAAGAATTCGTCTGTGGATTATACAATAAACTCGCGCCGGTTCCCGGGGACGCGTGGAGCGTCGAGAAAGCAGTCGCCCCGCAACTGCCTCAACTTCCGGCGCGAAGTTGCTACATCATCGCTTTCGAAATTTGTATCGACGTAGCCCGGGTCCAATAGCCGGCCCGAAGGTGAGCTCAGCGGCGAACTTGGTACATTCTCGCGCGAAACAAAGCGCACCTACATTATCCAGCCACCCTGGCGGCTAATATAACCGGTTACGATAAACTGAATAATCGTCGAATAGAAGTTCTATCGGAACTAATAATTTCCGGACGGTGGAGCCGCTCGAAATCCCTTGGAATGGGACTGTCCCTTTAGTTCGAAGGCTAGCCTATTATTATTTACAACAATATGATCGATACAACTTTGTCAGTAATTTATTGAAAACAGAGGAAAATGCATACTCTATGTCTGTGTTTGATATAGTATGATAATTGATAGTAGAAGAATAATATTTAATTTTTATTCGAAGGGATTGAGTAATATTGATAGTTGTTAAATATTTAAAATGTTAAACACGAGTCTAACACGTTATTGTAAGACAAGGGGTTAATTAAAGTGATTAAGATTAGTGAGGTAATGTATTATTATTTGAACAGAATTTAGAAAATATGTCAGTGGGACGGAGTAGTAACCAGTAGAATAAATAATCAGTAGTATGGACAGTAAGTGGAGCAGATTTACGTGTGGTCAGACATGCTAATAGAATAAATAATTCGTAATATAAATAATCGTTAGAATAAACGAACGTGTGAGTACTCGGTGAAATAAATAATCAGTAGAATGTACCGGCGCGTGGTCAGACAGCCAAATACGAGATCCACAGTGACTCAGGTTCGTCCAGAGATTTTCCACTCAGCATTCGTACAAACAGTTTTTGACGTTTCGTTATTATTTGCAATCCAATTTTCAGATACTTTACAATTATTGTTGGCGTGCTTCCACACTTTTTGCACTTTTAACGTGGAATTCACAATTTCATGCATAATACAGGGGAACGTGTATGACAGCGCGCGAACAGCGAATTTACGAGTTACCGTGCACAGCTCTCACCGTTAAAACTTTCGTTAAATAAAGTTGCAGCCGGCTTCATCAGGGGATGAAAACGATGTATTGATATTTACAAGGGAACGTAGGATTTTACGGAGAGCTAGGAAAATATTTAACACGTATTTTTCACGTGAAACTACGGAATATATGACACGCGTATTTTCTCACTAGTAATCACCCTCGTTGAAGGGATGAAGACAAGCTAACAGTTTTTAAATGAAAATCCTGTAGGATCGAATATTGTTGAAGCCACTGAAGCTAGAAAAGAAATTTTTAATTATCAAATTGCCCTATTTCTATACCTTAGTTTTAATATTCTCCAAAATATTGTTTTTCATTTATTTACAAGCAACTGCTAAAAAGAAATATATGCAATATTATTTCTAGTGTTTTTTCAGTTTTCTACTTTCTTTTCAATAGTTTCTTCCTGCGAATGATCGCAATTATTTTTTCAAAAATCCACGGCGCAAATCTAAGAAAGGGCAAGAACCAAAATTCGGAAAAAGAAATATATACAACATTATTTCTAGCGTTTTATCAGTTTTCTAGTTTCTTTTCAGTGATTTCTTCTTGCTGCGAACGATCGAAATTATTGTTTCAAAAATCCACGGCGCAAGTCTAAGAAAGGGCGAGAACCAAAATTCGGAAAAGAAATATATACAAAATTATTTCCAGCGTTTTATCAGTTTTTTAGTTTCTTTTCAGTGGTTTCTTCTTGCTGCGAATGATCGAAATTATTTTTTCAAAAATCCACGGCGCAAGTCTAAGGAAGGGCGAGAACCAAAATTCCTAACGCGTGCATAATGATTTATCGTCGGCGTCCCCAACCTTTTTCCCTTTTCCCGTCGGGTCAAAAAGGGTTTAGCCAGCGTTGCGGAATAAATTTCCCCGCAAACGACAATCGGATCGCGTCACGATGTCACTCGAGTTCCCGGCCTCGTGATTAGTTCCCACACGGAGGATCCCGAGGGAGGCGTATCGACTCCGTATCGGTTCCAGTCCGCGATTGATCGAGCCGCGATCGATAGGTTCTACAAAATTAAAGTAGACTCGCGCCGCTCCCGTATCCAATCTACCCCCGTGCACCATTTTTCTTTTTCCCAAAAAGCCGCGGTAGAATAAAAACTATCCGTCATATCCGCCTAGCTGAAGCTTTCTTTACCGACTTCCCTTAACAATGAATATTCTTTTGCATATTATGCAACAGAATTTTTCAATCAACGTGACCGAACCGGCAACTCGAAAAGCAGTAACAACAGCTGTCACGCGAGGCAGAAACGGTAGAAACCGTTAAGCATTTCAGTACCTTAATTTTCATTTTAATCACAGATTTAATTATAATTTAGATTAAAATTTTTCTTCTAATTACAAATTTCATTATAATCCCGATGAAAATTTCAATTTTAATTTAACTTCAGCCTCAGCTCCGACTTCAATTTTAACTTCGATTACTTCGCTTTTCGTATTGCTAATTAGAAATTCAATGTTCGATATCTCAGACAGCAAAATACAACAGACTGTGGCAAACAAGTTGCAAAACGTGATCCCAGACTGACTGCCGAGCAACCGGGGAAGATCCAAAGACGGGAACATTAATCTCCCAGCGATTTTCATTCGGAAATCCTTCAACGACCGCTGTCTGACAATGTCGGTCTCGCTAATGAACTTCACCCGCTCGAATTATCCGTATCGTATTTTACAGGACCGCCAGGATAATTACACGGCGATAGGTTCTCCCGTCAGCGTCGAGTGAAAGGATGAAATAGGAAGTACGAGGCCTCTCCCGTGATCTCTTCCGCGGCGGGTTTTCGGGCGGTAACGGGAGTACAGTCACGGTTGTTCCTACCAACCGACAGCCGCTTTGAAACTGGGCCGTGCGCTAATTAAAGTCTAATTAATTGTTTCACGTACGGTGGCAGCTTCCAATTATGGTTTCCAATCGATTATATCGGGGGCTTTGCGCGTACCACGGCACGCACGGACGGCTACGCGGGCTCCAGGCCGTTCGAACGCGAGAAAAACTCGGCCGAGGAGGTTCGAGGTATCGCGAGAAACTCGACGAGTACGCTCGCGAGGTAATGGACGGGGAAACGGAACGAAGACTGATGGACGAACGTGTACGTGCCTCGAGGACGCAGCAAGAACCGGCTTGTTTCCTTCCCTTTTTAAGGTGTCGACGCGGTGCCGGCTCGATTAGCAATAATCTCTAATTAGCGTCGTCGACGAGGATGACGTTGGCGTTTAATTAATTGAGAATAACGCTCGTGGGAGCGTTGCGGAGCCGGCCTTCGTTGATTCGTTCGTTAAGAGGGAATTGTGAGCTCGCGATTGACGTTTCATACGTGAGTTCTCCTTTTAGATTGAGTTTGGAAGATTGTAGTTTCAATTGGGGTTAACTAGATGATTGATCAGGGGATGGTCCTTTGGGAAAATGGAAACAGAAGGAACATTTTATTTCTAATCTTCGTCTCATGTCGCTCTAATTTTCTTTTTACTGAACTCTGTACATTTACAGGAGAAACATCAAGATTAACACTAGATTTACTGACTACTGTACAGTTCTATTGTTCTTAGAAAAATTGTTATTCGTTCGTTTAGATGTTAGAGATTAGAGGTTTAAGGGTAGACAATTAATACATATTTGCTGTACTATTTACTTTCGCTGCTAAGTTCGTGTAAGATTTTACCATCGACAATTTGGAAGCAACGCAACAAAATTTTCCGTTCTACTTAAAGTGGAAATTTCATTTGAAGACAAATTAACAATAGCAAAATAGTTGTTTGATCCATGGGTAGTAAGCAACGTTGATTGTTAAATTGATCGAGAAATCTTCATCACGAGTCTCGCTCGTCGTTGTACGTCAAGGGGTGTATAAAGGTCGATCCATTCACCAAATAATGCTTATAAAATTCAAAACGAGTTAAACCGACTCGTTCCGTAAATCCAGTGTTAAACGTTCTACCGTAACGATCGTGTTTCGAACTGCAGCGATACCGGTAATAATAATAAATTTATCGAAGCCCCTTTGGCGCGGCAGGAATAACATAGAAACGAGAGATATACACTTTCCATGAAATAATGTCATAGATTTTGTAAATGACCTAAGATTAAATTCAACCCGTGGCACGGGATACAGAAATGCGGCCCGTTGCCGGCCATTTCCAGAAACGCTTCGTTCTCAGCAACGAGCACGGCCGGCCGTGTGTTTACACACGTAGGGTCGCATAAATTTCGCGACGTGAAATTTGATTCGGCCCGGGACATGCACTGGGTGTCCAGAA